AGTAGTTTATTAACGTAATTAACCTTTTCACCACCAGTCTGCACTTCCCTTCAGAAGATTGGGACAAAAATAGCCAAATTTTTTTAATAGAAACTAAAAATTGACTAAAAATTTTGTCTGTTGCCTCCAAAATTAGTGTTCATTCCCCAGAAATTTTGAAAAATTTAAGAAAAAAGTACAGAAAAATTTAGGCGAGAAAGTCTGGTGGTGAAAAGGTGAATCCACATTTAATTGTTAGCTTAATTTACAATTATCACAAAACCAGGAATGAAATACCAGTGTGGCTGATTACTGAATATTTATTCAATGTTAATATCATTCACACTGTATATATGATTTATAATCCATCTAGTAATCTCTTTTATTATACACATTCAAGTTCAATTATCTGTCTTAAGATTTATTGGAGGAAATTGACACACAGTATATCGCTAAAATAGAACAAAGAATATAGTGTTAGTGATTTATTGTTGACCAACTGAATTTTAAATATTACAATCCTACATGGTGATGATTAACAGATGTAATCGGTTCAATTGATGTAGTGATACAGCTGATTGTAGAATAAACCCTTCATACCTCGATGACACACACACACAAACACACAGAGTCACTGATCAATATTTATTATGATGAGACAGCTTGTAAGAGCCTGAGGAAAGAATCCTAAAACTCTAAAACCTAAGTGATACATAAAAAAATAATATTGTAAATTTTTCAATACTTCAAGACATCCAAAAGTACCTTGTAAGACACTATATGTTTTCGTTTCAGTATATGTCACTGAGCAAAATGTTGAGATATTGCGATAGATCCTTGCCATAGGGAACAATGGTAAAATGTCCTAAAATGTCAATTATCTCTGAACCAAGTATGATGACATCATTTTAATTTTAAACCATTTTTTACATTCTTGAATATACCATAGAGCAACCCTACCCCAGGATGACTGGATGATCCTCGTTAATTCGACGGACGAACAACATGTAAAAATAAATAAAATGACAATTATAATACTATTTTTGAGTAGCGTTCTATTTTCTATTCTATACAGCTTCTTGTGAAGTAATTAACAATTTGCATTCTTTATTGATTGCTTAGTTTTTGTTCTGCTGTATTTTTTTTTTTTATTTTCTGTATATTTTTTTTTCATGCTATCAAAATCTCTATTATTATTATTACTTCTGCCTAAACTAGACAAAACAAACATAAAAAATTTCACTCACATTACCAGTTCACAAATAATATGATACCAATTTGGATAAAGTTGGATTCAAACAATGTTGGACAACGTTTTCTACATATAGGAAATCTCTATCATTTTGCACTCAAATCTCATGCAAATCACATTAATTATAAACAATATACAAATAAGCAAAATACAATTATTCCTAAAAAGAATATAATAATATATAGTTGACCCTAAATTTGAATTGTATATTCATACTTTCATGTTAATGATGCATTTCATATCAGTTTGTATACATTTGTATGTTTATAAAGCAGACACTAAACAAAACAATAAAAACAAAAACTCCCCAGTTTCATATATGACAATTTTTTTAATCGTGATGTACAGATACTGATAATAAACTTAATCTGTGATATTTTACAGAAGCAATGGGACCAACAGTAGCAACACCACCAATTATATTCTCAGTGATGACAACAGGTGAGTAGCGTTGTAAACAAAACAGTTACAAATTCAGGAATGATATTACAGAACAATATGATGCCATATGCTTAGTGCAAGCTAGTATCAGTCACATTACCAATCTGTTGTTGATTTTATTCAGAGGTGTGTACAGAGGGAAAGATATATGTGACTGACTGTGAAGACATCCCAGCATGTCCGGCTACGTGTGATGATGTTTCCAATCCAGAATTATGCGCAAAAGGCGGTGCATGCGTACCTGGATGTAGATGCCCATTGGACACAGTAGAACAAGATGGTGAATGTGTTGACCAATCAGAATGTAGATGTCCATTTGACATGAGTGCATACGCTGGAGCTACTGTAACATTTGTGTCACTAGTGAAAACCACAAGTAAGTTTATCCTAGTCCTGATAATTGGTATTCAAAACAAATATAACACTTTTGGTAACTCCACAGTTTACTTAAATAATAATGAACCCCCTATAGCGGTATACTGGGTGAGAGAAGAAGGGTCTATGGAAAGATTATGCGTGAGGTAAAGCAGCAAACACATTATCACGTTTAGACTTTTTTCAGAATCCAGTAATAACACAGTGTGGGAGTTATTATTGTTGATATAAATCATCACCATCAGAATTAACCATTGAACATTTTGTTGTTGTTAAAATGAATTTAATTTTACTTTAATTTGAGATTCACAGAATCGTGTGATAATGTATAACTGTGATGTCATAGGAACCTTTAATTCTGATAGTGGTTATTTATAAATATCATTTTTTCATATTGTATTAATTGATCTACATTGCATTATATGAAATGAATGACCAATTTGGTGATCATAAGAATAACAATAAGAACATACATTTGTAAATATTAATATGTAATTGTTGTTAACATTATTTATTTTGATTTTTCAGTTGTGACTCCCCTGTTGGCAGTTCCTGGTGAACCAGGTGGACCAGGAGGACCACAAGGTCCTGGTGGGCCTGGCGGGCCAGGTGGTCCTGGTGGTCCAGGTAAGATAACAAATTCAGTTTCATTGCATGATATACACATTGCAAGCTTTCATTGTTGATGCTACTTTAATTCTTTTGTTTAACTCAATATCCTGAATGAAATGAAAGAAAAAAAATTACTTTAGGTAGATCTTGAACAAAGCAAGTGTTTTGAATGTTAACCTATTCTCTTCTCTTAAAATGTCATCTTGGCTGTATTATAGTCACTTATTATGTTATTAATTTTGTGTCTTTTATCAATTTTGGTATATCACTATTTAAAGAAATTATGTACTAGTACTATTAGTAATTTTATTCAGTATTGGGAATCATGAATAGAAACAATTATGATAATACATTATTCCCTTTTTAGTGTGCGCTTTTTTATTGTATTTCCTAATTTGAATTGTTTGTAATCGTCTTTTCTCAACCTTTATATGAGATCTTGTTCAACTAATGCAAAAATCAATAACCAATCAGAAAAGGCTTTATATACAACCATGGTTGGACTATGAAATTTGCACACAAATGGCATAATAACTGTATGCAAGGTCTTCTCTGATTGGTTGACCAATCTCGTTATTTGGGATCCCACTAACAAGGTTCTTTATGGAGTTTCATCAGATCTTTGAGCATTCACAGTCAGGAAAATTGAAAAAAAAATTTAAGAAAATGAATTTGCAATAATAAAAGAAAAGTAAAAATTAAACAATAAAAAAAAAACATTCCAGTAATATCTATTTTAATCAGACTGCTCTGAGCCATGAACCTATTGACCCTGATTTTGCAACATCTTAATAGGTAAATATAATAATAATAAT